ACAGAAACGATCAAACAAAAGACCAACTTGCAGTCAAAATACCAACATGATAAAAAGTAAATTTATAAGAGATTTTTAACACATTATGAGTTTCACATAAATTTATTTTGCTGAAAGCAAGTGTTCGTTATTTGAAAGGAAGCATTGAAAAATCACTCAGCTTTATACTAGTTTCTACGCATAAGAAAATGAAGATAATTCATCTTCCATCTTACCTTGAAATATGTAAACAAGTTGAGATGAGGAATTGTTATGTTTGGTATTTCTTGTTATTGTTGATTTATTAGCAAAAAGAATCTCATTCCTAGCATTCGAAATCAAGTATAGTTAGGGCTGGCAAAATCACCCGCACCCACGGATACCCGACCAACCCGAACCGAAAAAATGGACGAAAACCCGAAGGAGTATGGATGAAAAATGGATGATGAGTGGATTGAAAGACGGGTTGGATCGGATGTGGATGAACACTCATCCAACCCATCACCCGACCCGTAACCCGCTCCATCCACCTGCACCCGCTGACCCGCATATAAATAAATAAATAAATAAATAAATAAATAAATAAATAAATAAATAAATAAATAAATAATAATTAAATAATTAATTAATAAATAAATATTAAAATCTATTTAATAATATATATATATATATATATATATATATATTAATAATAGTCAATGATTATATATTCGTAGATAGGTTATATGGAGATATATATTGTAGTGACTAAAAGTCTAAAATAGAAGCCCGACCCTAATCTAGTAATCCCGTTAGCCCTAAGCCCCTAAATCCCCTAATCTGACTAATCATCGGACTTCAACCATCATCCCGTCTAGTTCATCGCCTTAACGGATTTTTCAATGAATGTTTAATTTTTGTCATGATTTCTCTCTATAATGTATTTTTGTCTTTCAAGTAAGACCATTTATATTCACCCGTTACTCACCCGATCCACCCGATAACCAGTTCATGACGGACAGGTTGGATGTGGATGTCATTTTAATGGATGATGGACGGGTGGGTGGACTATGAAAAATTAACGGGTGGACGACAGATGAGGCTTCACCTGGTATAAATCCGACCCGCTGCCACCCCTAAGTATAGTATGCAGTTCAAGGCTAAGATCGCAGTTTTTATTCCTCGTCCTTTCTTGAGTTTCTCCTATATAGTCTTTCTTACACTTTTTCACAATACTCAAAAGTCAAAGATATCCTCTTGAAGCACCACTCCCCAACAGCTCCCTAAACCATGCTAGTGAAAAGGACACTAGAGAAACTGGTGAGAGACATATTCCAAATAGGATTTGCAAAAGCAGCATGCTATATCCATCTCAGTAAACATAACGGTTTCACATATAGGGAGACTATCTTCATTTTCAGAATCACAAAGTTTTTGCGTGGGATATACATTTCCCAAATGAGATCCATTCATGGTTTGCTTTCTCCTTTAGTCTTGAGCATGTCATATACCCTCCCTCCCTACAGTGAACTTGCCACAAGTAGTAAATGTATTTAGTTTATATCACTCCCTCTTATCAATTCATCTCTAATTCTAAGCAGTAACCAAGTGAAACCATCAATTTTTTCAATCATATGGGAGTAATTGGGCAATGGATACCATAAGAGGATCAGAGCTAAAGGGATCTCTAGGTACCTGATCGAGAACTAGACCTCATGGAAACCAACCATATTGAAAATAGTATTTTTCTTTTGTCCATTTAAAATTGCCAAGAGTGTTTGATTTGTCAAGGCTAATGGCCATACCTACCATCATATGAAACTTTTCTATACACTAATCGTAACTTTTCTATACAATAATATTGCAATGGCTAGTAATTGGAAGCATCCGGAGAACTAATGGCTAATGAGGGACTATGGAAGAATGAGCGTTTAAAGCACCAAACCCCCTCGTGAAATATAAATTTGGCGCATTAACCCACTGTGATTTAAAAATGCGTCAAACCCCCCTGTGTTATAATTAATCATGCGTCAAACCCCCTCCAAGAACAAATTTAATTTCCAAAAAATGAAAAATGGTTAGTTTTTTGTGTAATTTATAAATTTTGACAAAGTTACTTGCATATTGAACCATACTATTAAAAAAAGTGATTTCAAAATTGTAAAATTTGTTTCTTGGAGAGGATTTTGCGCATAATTAATTATAACACCGGGGGGTTTGATGCATTTTTTAAATCACAAGAGGCTAATGCGTCGAATTTATATTTCACGAGGGGTTTGGTGCATTAAACCCGGAAGAATGCTAATTGAAAATGTTAAGTCGCCCCATTTCCAAGTCATTGATGTTTACTCTGAATTATATTTATACTCTGTACTTCATTTTTCTTTCAAATGAGGCCATACCGCATTTTGAACTATTCTTGTGAGCTAAAGACGCATAACTACTGGCAGTTTGAAAAACTTCTTTTCGACTTATCAGACTTCTCAACCAGTTTTTTCACCAAACACGTAATTTTTGCTTTCACGCGTTAAATTGTGTAATAAGCTTTCAGAAGTTCTGGCTGTATTGGCTGAGTTACTGTGGATGACCATTTTAGCTATTTTTACATATAATTTTTTCTTTATTTTATTAATAAAATATATTCTAAAAATAATCGTTTTTAAATCAGCAAAACCAGTCAATGCAGCCACTTCAGCCAGAACTTCTAAAATTTCAGCAGAATCAGACGATTTTCGTGTTACCAAATGGGCTCTTAATTGTTTTGGTTGTGGGGAACAAATTAAATGTTAGATTGAAAATGTAGTTTATTTTTAGTTCACTGTTGTTTATTATTATTATATTGTTATTATTAATTACTATTAGTTAATTAGGCATTACTAAATGATTACTTTAAATTTGGTGTTAGCATTTTGGTCGTTGCAGATTTTGAGGAATGTTGTGAGTTGTTGAACGAAGAAGATGAAGGAGCAGGGGTGAGGGGAGGGGAGGGTAGTTATGATTTAAGGGGAAATGAAAACTAATAATGTGACACCTCGAAAAATTTAATAATTTAATTACTAGTATTAGTTATATAAAACTATTAATCCAAGTAAAGTTTTGTCCCATTTTAATCTTACTGAATCGGCTAACTTGTGTGTACAAAGATATACACTAAGAATTATACAAATATCGATTACATATTAATTATTATTACTAAACACGTAATAATGCATATGAAGCTACGTCCGTAATCAAATATGCAAAATGAATAAACGTTATTTAAACATGAACCTAAATAATAATACTGTGTACTACGTATGTTACACATACTGCGTACGACGACAAATTATACCGTGGGATCGGTGCACCTTGAGCATGGTGTGCCGATCCCAAAACGGTATCACTTTATCAATTAAATAGAAAAACAATCTCTTGCAAAAATAAATAGAACCATTGATCTTCCGCAGCAGCAGTAATTAAGGAGCCACCATCGTTTTTACAGAAGCTCTTCAATGTCTGCTCTTCAATCCGCCACAACGGTAAGGAACGTAATCGTTGATGTTGATCGATGAATTACACAACATAAACTTCTAACTTTCTGCTTAACCCTTGAAATATGGAATCATGATATCGATGGAAATATGGAATCATGGATTCACGCAAAACCCTTGAAAGCAGATTCCTTTGCTTTCATTTAACATGTACCCTTTAATCAAATTCCATTTATATAAATTTTTCCATTTTGATGTTGATCGATGGAATTAATTGATATATACTGTATATGTATATATATGTGTGCGCGTTTGTATAATACATGAAGTTACATCTTTTTACATTTCATTTACATCTTAATGTACGCGAGTTACATCTTAATAGACGCGAGTTACATCTTAATGTATGCGAGTTACACCACGGAATAAACCTCTGCAATATCATTTTTATAGCCCTAATATTAAAAATAAAACATATTCACTATTTAAAAAAAGTTATTAAGCTATTAGGATCAATTTTTCATTGTTTACATTGAAATTAATGTTTATAATATATATATAATTCTCAAACACACAAAAAAATCATTGTTCAATTTTCCAACAAGTTACATTTCGACCGAACTTGAATTACATCGATCAATAACGTAAGTTACATATCTTTACACGCGGGTTACATTATTCACTCTGCTGGGATAAAAAGAAAGAAAAAATAGTCACTGTACACGCGTGTACTGTTCACGTGATTTTGTTTAAAAAATTATTCAAAACTACGTCGTTTTGGGAGTGGAGCATGGTGCTCACCGTGGGATGATCCCACGGTATACGAACTGGCGTACGACGGATAAACTACGAACGAAGCTAGAGTTTCAAGCCTAAGAGGAGATCTGCCATATTTAAGCTACACCTACGGAAGGAATATAACCTTAATCACGTACACATGCAGAATAAAAAGTACTACCTCCATCCCTTAAAACTTTGCCAAAGTTGACCGGCACGTAGAATAATAAAGTAAAAACTGTGTGGTTGAGGTTTATGCAGAGGAGAGAGAAATAACAGAAACCACAAAATAATTGATTAAAAGGGAAAGTGACAAAGTTTTTTGGGACGTCCCAAAAAGGAAAGATGGCAAAGTTTTAAGGGACGGAGGGAGTAAACATAAACTCTTACTACCTCCGTCCCAAATTGATTTGCAAATTTGACTTTTCTCGGTCAAACAGTTTCATTTTATTTGTTTAATTAGGATGTCAATTTTTAATTATTTTCTAATTTGGAGTTTACAACTTTGAAGGAATTTTAATGTAGTTTCTGAATATGTAAATTTTAATTATTTTTTTTTCCCGAAAACACCTGGTTCGGTGGGTAAATGTCGGGGAACATTTACCATTATTTTATAAATCAAAGAGAATTTACAACTGAGTTAGGCCCAAAAATGGCGCAAATACAACAGAAAAATGAGAGGGCTTATCGGCCTCCCAAAATTGGGATGGATTAAATCGCAGGCCAAGCCCACTCGGTTGGCCCAAAAATCAGCGTGTGTCCAATCCTAGAGAATAAACCTACTGCGTCAAACATAATCCGCCAAAAAGGAATGTCCCCCATCCCTAATTCTAGAACTTTCAATAGTGCGAGAAGTAAGGCTGTGCGAACGAGACCACTCCTAGATTCAAAATTCATCCGACATCTCTGAAGATTCCTACTCCATTTTTGTCTTTGAGAAAAGCTTCGTTTGCCCTGGTTGGGAGAGTGTCCTGAGTGAAGAAGAAGAGGTTCTTCAACCCGGTGCCATACTTTGCGAGGAAGTGCGCGACCATGTTCGATTGCCGAGGTCGGTGTATAAAGGTAATTTCTCTGTTGATTTTCGTCCTGCGTAGCCTGGGGATAGCTGATTTGAGGTAGGTAGGTATCTTCAAGAACCCTTCTGTCATATGAATACAAACTTGAGAATCGTTTTGGTCTTTATATGTTTTGTAACCCTTGTTGTTGATGACTGAAACCGAGGTGTCCATGGCGTTTATTTCCGCTTGTAGTGGACAAGACGTTTGGAGCGGAAATGCAAATGCCTCGATGAACTCCCCGCTTCCAGTTCGAAGGATTGCACCACCGGCAGCCTGTCCGTCCTTAAATGCGGCGTCTGTGTTGAGAATAAGTTGCGCAGGTAAATCTGTTTTGCACCTAATTGAGTGGTTAAGTCTGTCATTGCTCTTCAATAATGGCATTAGGCCGTCACTATGTAGTTTCGAGTCAAACGTGAAATTTTTGTTGTGTTGTTTGTTGTAGCACCAGTTCCGGACATATTTTTTGATTTCTGAAATGATGAAAGATTTGGAAAATTGTTTGTTGTTCCAGATGCTAGAGTTGTAGGATTTCCAGATGTGCCACATAATTATTGCCGGCATTCCTTGACGTAGTGTGTCTCTAATGTACTTTGTTTGTTTGCCCATCCACCAAACAAAAACAGTTTGCCTTAGCTCTTCATTGTCAGCAAACCTCCAAAATAGAAGAAAAGTACCTCCATATAGGGAGTATTAGGGGGCACAAGAAGAGGATGTGGTTTTGGGTATCAAGGTTATGTAGGCAGAAAGGACATCTTGTGGCCAATTGAACATTTAAACGGGTTAAGTTATCTGGGAAGGGGAGTGAGTTGGTGAGGTATTTCCAAAAGAAGATTCTGATTTTGAGTTCAATAGGAGCATTCCAGAGCTGAGAGTAGGAGAAAGTGGTGGGGTGATGGTTTCTTATGTGATGGTAAGCACTTTGAAGGGAAAGTTGCCCATTTTTTTCCAGGGTCTACCGGGGGGTATTGTTGACAGACTCAATGAGTGTTGGGTAAAGACTTGCTGTTTTGCAAATGAGCTTCCAGGAGGGGGAGTCCTTAGGTTTAGAGGCCATAAGTCCCTGCCTAGAATATCTTTTGCGCATGAATTTGGCCCAAATTGTTTTTTGTTCCTCATATTTCCACCAGGTTTTAAGCTGATATGATACTTGAATTTCCGTGAGGGACCTGATATGCAGGTCTCCCTCACTGCCTGCTCTGCAGATATGGTTCCAGCTTTTCCAATGATATTTTGGTTTCTCTTTTGCATACCCCCCAAAAAGTTACTCATCAACCTTTGTAGACTTAGAATGATATGTCTAGGAAGAGTGTTGACGGCAATCTGGTGTAGGGGAATCGCTAGGAGCACATGCCTAATTAGAATCAGTCTTCCAGCCTGATTCAATTGTTTATGTTTCCAGGTACGAATCTTGGATTCAAATCTTTGGAGGATGTTGGCACAGTGTACTGTTCAAGTTATCCCATGATTCAGAACTGCCCCCAGGTAGGTAATTGGTAGGGTTGAAACATTCATCCTTGTGTCTTTATTTATCCCCCGTTTCCTTCCCAAATTCAGTTTCTTACTCACCAAAATTGTGCTTTTATTGGTGTTTATCAGCTGCCCAGTGGCTGCCATGAAGATTTTGAGAAATTTCTGGAGGTTTCTGAATGAGTATGCTGAACCATTTAGAAACAGCAGCAAATCGTCCGCGTAACCAAGATGGTTTACCGGGCTTGGATCGTTTCCAATTTGATAAGGTGTGATGAGTTTTTTATTGTATTGGTTTTGTAAACCCCTTATAAAGCTTTCCATTGCAATTAGGAATAGGTACGAGGACAAGGGGTCCCCCTGTTTGACCCCCCTTCGAGGTTGAAAGTAACCATGAGGTTGACCATTGACTAGGACGGAGATGTGGGTTGAGGCCAAGTTGGTCATGATAAGTTTGGAAAACCTCTTATGAAAACCTAGCTTTAGAAGAGCTGCCTCCAAGAAAACCCATGAGACTCTATCAAAAGCTTGGGCAAGGTCCAACTTGATTGCTATGTTCCCGCCCCTGACCGGTTTGTCAAGGTGGTGGAGTATTTCTTTGGCCAACATGATATGAAGGTGGATGTCCTCACCTTCCATGAACCATATTTGCTCTTTTGAAATTATTTTGGGGAGGATAGGTTTGAGGCGAGTTGTTAGGATCTTTGTGCAAACTTTGTTTAGGAAGTTGGATAGACTGATGGGGCAGTAGTGGTTAAAGCATTTTTGGTTGGGAATTTTTGGAATCAAAGCTATTAGGGTGCTGGATAAGGCCTTAGGCATAGGTAAGCCTAGGAAGAACTCTTGAACAGCCGTGTAGAGGTCATTCTGAATGATAGGCCAATATGATCTGTAAAAGTGACCATTAAAACCATCCGGTTCGGGGCTGCTGTCCTGGTTTAGGGCCCAAATAGTGTCTTTGACTTCCTGTTTAGTAGGGACTGAGATTAGGAAAGAGTTATCATCCAATGTAACCGTAGGTTGAAGAAGGTCCAGAATTTCATCCATATTGGATGATTGACCAGGTAGTTGGCAGTAGAGCTTTGTGAAGTGATGAACTGCCTGATCAGCAATGGATGATGGCTCGGTGTAGGATACACCGTTGTCATCTTCGATGTATCTAATGGCTTGACCCCAACGTTTTGCCTCACGTAGTTATGGAAAAATTTTGTGTTAGCGTCTCCGTCTGATAGCCACTTGATATTTGCTCTGTTTCCAAAAAAATATTTCTTGCTTTAGGCGTAACAGTAGGTCTGCCTGGGCCTTAGACCAAGTGGTCCGATTCTCTGGCGTAGTGTTGTGTAGATAGACCCCTTCCGCCTCCAGTGCAGAGGCCTCAACCTTCCTTACCTCCTCAAAAATGTCCCCAAAAATCTCTCTGTTCCAGACTTTTAAATTTTGTTTAAGATTTTGGAGTTTGTTGTAGAAGTGCCTCATACCTCCTCCTGAGGTATAGTTATTCCAGCTATTATTGACTGTGTCAGTGAAGCTGTGATGTGTAGTCCACATGTTTTGAAAACGGAATGGCTCCGGTCCGGACAGTTTAGTATCGCTGCAAGATAGTATGATAGGGGTGTGGTCGGAAGAGACTCGACACAAGTGATGCTCTAACAATGACTCAAAGTTGTTAGAAAACTGGTCGTTTGCTAAAAACCTGTCTAGTCTCCTCCATAGCCTCCCGGTCGACCGCACCCCAGTCCAAGTAACTTACTTCCAGTAAATTGGATTTCGTTTAATTGACAATAATCAGTACAATCCGTAAAATCCTTAATTTCCGAGACTTTAGGAGTAGATTTACCGTAGTGGTCAGAGATGGAAGCGATGACGTTGAAGTCCCCCCGACCACCCATGGTTGGTTATGACTATCCTTCCAGGCTCGAAGGTCATTCCACAGTTGCGTCCTCTCTCCTTTAGAATGTAGGCCGTACACTGTAGTTAGCCAGAAAACTGGTTGACCAAGAAATGTTGACTTTGCAAAACAATTTGGGACGGAGGGAATATATTAAAATCTACTAATTGTAACCGTACGAAGAAACCTAATCGGATTTTTAGAGACCTAGAACCTTCATTCTTCAACTTTAAATAAATTGAGGGGGAACATCGTCGAGAGCTGCACGCCAAACCCAGTCGATTGATATATGCGTATACATCTATATATCTAAAATATCATCCCCTCGTAATACCAAACAGAAAGCCTTGTAAACACTTCTAAAATCTTTTCCTTAGTAAGGGAAATCCATTGGAACAAGAGTCATTGAAAACGGTGGGGAAACGAAGGAGAACGAGCTCGCCGGACCTTCACCGGACCGCTGCCGTTCCACTCGTCTGTCTTCAACGTAAGTTAGCCTAATCCCTGAAGTTTTCCATTCCTTTCAGGTTGGCCGTCAAAGAAGACAACACAGTGCTAACCTCTGTGATCGATTCTTCTTCGATACTAATTGTGTCATGTTTTAAATGTTAGGCCGATAATTTGCAATTCTGGACCATTCAGTGTTGGTTTAAAAATTATATATTGCTCCGTAATATTAATAATTACCAATGAATAATAATGATAATAGTAACCATAATACGAGTAGTTATTATTAATCTACTAACGATATTCATGATAAAATCTGGGATGTAAATATCTAAAGATGAAATTGGATGGGCCAATTCGATGAATAACTACTTGAAATAAATAAATAAATAAATAAATAAATAAAGATAAGAAACGAATTAATCAGTATTTTGGATCTATCATCTTAATCGGTTTTAATTGATATCGGGTGATAATCTGTAAAGGTGATTTAAAAATAAATTACAATATTAACATGATAATAACATTTCGAATAAATTTGTAATAAAATAAAAGTAATTCGAATATTGGATTAATAATTAAAACATAATTCCGATACTTAATTAGCAGAATTTAATTAATGATTGGAATACGTTATTATCGTGATGATTAATTAAATAAAGTAAATTGAACTTAAACGGATTGATCTAACTAGTCACAATTCGTCAATCTAATATTTTAATATTACGGTTACTTCAAATAATAAATGATTATAGTTATGATTAATAATAACCTAAACTAAACGAAATAATGTAAATTCATAATTATAACTATTATCATATGAATTGGAATTTAGAAAATAAAGTAGTAATAAAAATTGATTCGGATAATCACATAGGAAAGGGGAATTGGATAAATAATTAAGAACAATGGAATAAAGGACTAATTATATCATCTTAATTAAAAAGGTGATTATATAGAGACCGGAGTAGAGAAGAAGAGTTAGGAACATCACGAGTTAAGGTACGTTTCTCTGCCAATCCAAAATTGTTTCCTCGTATTATATGCTTATTATGCATTATGTGATTAAGTGTGAATTGTGAATTTTGTGTATGTGATTTTGAGGAGATATTATATACATGGTAGTTGAGAAATATAAATTAATTACTCTTGGGGTATTAAATATTTTTAAATACCTTCGAGACTTTTTAAAGAAATTGAGAAATATTTTTGAAGTATATTTTAATTATAGATAAAATGTACGTTTTCATAAGAAGTGAGCACCCGGGAGAAACACGTGGTGTCGGTTTTCTACATCCGGATAAATGTGGAGGGTGATTAGGGCTGCTGCTACTAACAAGTACAGTTTAAGTTTTAAGTGACATTTGGATCTATGATTCCTTTTAAGAAGAAGTTATAGTAGTAGTCCCTAGAATTTTAAAGGTGAGGTGGTTGGTAGACTGAGTCCCGACTACCCGAGATGATTTACTACTCGGAGGGCTTGGAATCCATTTTAGGGGGTGTGCACACTTAAGGTAGTCGTTTCATTTCCGCAAGAGCAGTTGTGATACCGGCACTTATTCGGGGTGCCCATCCGGTCCACCGGGCTCAGTCGAAAGTGTTGGAGATATTAAATTGTGAATCAAGTTTGTCATAGATTGGCTTTATATTTAATCCTTGTATTTAATTAGTGCATGAATTAGATAGCAATCAGGCCAAGTGTTAGGCCCATATAAACAGGCTAAAAGCCTTGTACGCCTAACCTAAACCTCACCTATAAAAAGGGAGCCGAGGTTTAGGAATAGGTTAACGTCGTACTTATTCTTCATAGCCTTACGCGCATACTTTTGTGTTGTACGAGTTCACGGTCTATCAAAGAAGGTTTTACGTTGATTCATTCTGTGTTCATCCTTACGTTTAATCTCCGTTGTTAGATCATTATTCATTGCTGTTACAGAAACAGGGACTAACAATTGGTATCAGAGCAGATCGAGAACCGATCAGAAGAACGCCTGCAGAATACTCTGTTTTTCTTTACGTTGTTCTTACTGTCGATTTTTCACTCTGTGATCTTGTTTCTTGTTCAAAAATTGTAAAAGTTACACCCTTAGAATCGTCTTTGCAAAGCGATCAAGGGGTATACTTCAGATTTCGTTTTTCGCATATTCTGATCTCTAGATCCCTAATCTCGAGATCTTTAATCTCGAGCTCAAATCTCGATACCGGGCCTCCTTTATCGAAATCTGAGATTTCGATATTCAGATCTCGACATCTGATTTTTCGACTTTCTGCCTCTGAAAATCTTTTGATCAATTTTCTCGAACGGTCAGTTCAGTACAGCAATGGAATCAGAATTCAATGCACAAGGGAACAGCAGTACCCCTCCTAGTCTCAGGAAGGGAGAATATCAAATGTGGAGGAACATATTCCTTAATTTCCTCGAGCACAAAGAGAACTCTGCTGCGATGCTTGAATCACTGCTTGAACGACCAGCTGAACTCTTGATTTCAGTTGGTGGAGATCCAGAAAATAATCCTCCTATTTTTCCAGAAATAAGGAGGAAAGTGCCATCTGAATACACAGAAGCTGACAGACTCGGGCTTCGCGGTGATCTCATGGCCAAAACATACCTTCTTCAAGCAATCCCAAATGAAGTATATGTTCTCATAGACAGCCTGCAAACAGCTAAGGAAATGTGGGATGAGATAGAAAAGCTGCTCCAAGGCACAAGCATCAGCCTCAAAACCAAGAAGACTACGATTCTTATCGCTTATGACTCCTTCAAAGCAGGTCCAGGAGAACCATTGAACGAGACTTACAACAGACTCGTTCAACTGGTAAATGAACTCAGAAAAATCAAAGTATTCAGGTCCAATCTGGAACTGAATATTAGATTTTTATCCAGTCTGCATCCTGCATGGGAAAAGACAGTGAAGGAGGTCAGATCTCGGATAGATTTGGACGAAATTGACCTCTGCACACTCTATGAACATCTGAAGCAATTCGTCAACGAAGTTGCCTGTGCTGAGGATCATCACACCACAAACCCTTTAGCTCTTGTAATGGAGGCTCAGCCAAGAAGGACAACCATTTCACTAAAGAAGAAAAAGAAGAAGGTGGTGGTTGAATCAGATTATGATGATAGTGATGATGACAAATCTGATCTAGAGGCTCAGCTAGCAGACTTACAGAAGAAGATGACACTGCTTGCCAAAAGATTTGCTAAGAAGAACAGCTCCTCCAACAAGCTGAGAACTTCCTCCTCAAACTACAAGCAGAAGAACCATGATCAAGGATCTTCCAGAAAGGCGCCATCAGCTGAAGACACCCCCAAATGCTACAACTGTGGTAAGGCTGGACATGTCATCAAAGACTGCCGCCTCCCAAAGAAGAAAGATGCTAATTTCTACAAGCAGAAGATGTTGTGGAATAAGCAGAAAATGCTGATGGTGCAGAAAGAAGAAGAAACTTCTGCTATGATTGCCGAGAATGAGAACTGGGCAGAAGATTCTTCTGAGGAGGAGGAGGAGAAAGACAACTATGCTCTTATGGCATGACTGGAGGAAGATGAAAGAAAGGGTGATGCTGCGATCCCCGAAAGCAAGTGCTCAACAAGCTCTGTAAGTACCTCACATACTCCTTTAAATAATCAAATGTAGTCCTTACTTGAAAAGGACAATCTAATCAAAGAACTAAAGGAGAGACTAGACAATAATCACAGGGTACTGAAACAGAATCTAGACCAAAAGTCTTCCTTAAGTGTTCAACTTGAAATTGCAAAAGATCAGGTCAAAAAGGTGTCCTCAGATTTTGAAAGCTTTGAACTTAAGATAGCTGAATTAACTAGGAAATTTGAGGATAGTGAACGGGAAAAAAGCACAACAAAGGCTGAATGCGATTTTTTGCATAACAAGAGAAGAACACTTTTAAATAAAGTAAAAGAACTAGAAGATCTAGCTGCTAGAAGAGGTCAATCAGAACAAACAGTTTTTCTGCTTAACAGCAAACAAAAGGATGACCGATTTTACAATGCTAAAACAGGATTGGGCATAACCAACCCACGTAATCTGAAGAAAGTTAACTGTCTTCAAATCTGTAACAAAGATTACATGGGACTAGGATTTGGCGAGAAAATGTATTTTCGAAGTGATGAAGAAAACGCTAAAGCAGAAGAAGAAAAGAGAAAGAATCCAAAATCTGCGATTTCTTGTGATTATCCCTCTGTAAATGAAAAACAACTTTCACAAGAAAAACCTACTTCCTGCTTTAGTGAATGCCTTGACCCTTATGCTAAAGATATTCCTCACATAGGACACCCTCTAGACCCTCCCCCAAGAGTAGGTATTGCTAAAACTGGTGAGGAACCGTGTATATTTCCCATGGCTCAAAAGCTCAAAAACCTACAGAAAACTCTTGATAACGAGAGAGAGAGATTTGAAACTGAAAAGAAAGGTTTTGAGCGCAACTGGCAGGAACTTCTTCAAAAATTTAATGATTTGAGTGAGCAGTATCATGCTAAAACAGACCCTTCTACGACTAAGCCTGACATCTCACACACCTCACATGAGAAAAACAATGCTTTAAAAGGTTCGTCCACTCATCTCTCTTCTCCTTTGTTTACAGGAAATGAAGTGAAGAAGGAAGGAGAAGAGAAGAATGAGTGGAGGAAAAAGAGGAAGGAAATCGCAGATGGCAAAAAGAAAGTTTTTGAGAATAATGCCAGTCCTAGATCTAGTTCTATTTTTTACTCCAAAATTAATTGTAATTCTGTCTCTACAAAACAAACTTCTAGTAGTTCAGTCTTGAGTCCCAAGCTGAATATTTCTGAGACATCTTCTAGACAACGTTCTATTTTTAATACAAGTGTTGCTTATGGTTATTCTGTTCCAGATCCCCATAATTATGAATGTGATGTGAATGTTGTTAAATCAAAGCCTCTCAGAAAACTCAAACCTGAAAAAGAAACCAAGAAAGGAACTTCTAAGGGAACGTTTTGTATTCCAGATATGAAATATGCCCTTAGAGTTCATTCTAGGAAACATCTTAATCGGCTTTCTAAGGAGGAGATTTTCGAAATCAAACTTAAGAAACAACCGTTCAATCACAAAGCACCTGTCTACTCTCCTCCTAAACCTAAAAAGGAAAGGTGGGTCCCCAAGATAAGACCCATCAAAACTGAAACTGAAAGGTGGGTCCCCAAGATGAGACCTACCAAAACTGAAACAGATAGGTGGGTCCCCAAACGAAGACCCATCCAAACTGAAACTGAAAGATGGGTCCCCAATCGAAGACCCATCAAAACTGAAACTGAAAGGTGGGTCCCCAAATTCAGACCCACCAGAACCAAAATGGAAACTGCTAAGTGGACTCCAAAAACCAGACACACTGCAAAAGCAGATCTGGCTATTGGAAAGCCCACAAAAGATAGATCTTTTGTTGAAAGAGCTGCTGACCTTGGATCACAGCTCAAAGCAAGATTTAAAAAGGTGTTTCTTGATAATAAGGAAGGACCCACTCCAAGTTGGGTACCTAAACCTGTTTGATTGTTTTGCAGGACGGTCATGTGTGGCACTTAGACTCAGGATGCTCAACCCACATGACCGGAATAAAGCACCTTTTGAGCAACTACACCAACTGCTACGGAGGCAATGTCAGATTCGGGAATGACGCCTCATCTCCTATCCTTGGGTATGGGGACGTCGTCTGTGCCAGTGTCACAATAAAAGATGTTTCATTTGTCAAAGGGCTCAAACACAACTTACTGAGCATTGGACAATTCTGTGACAGCGGGATGGAAGTGAGGTTCTTTGCAAAACAATGCTGTGTTCTTGACAACACAGGGAATACATTATTAACGTGTTACAGAACATCAAATCTGTACACTATTGATCTGAAAAGCGTCCAATCCACCACTTCCATCTGTCTGCTGTCCAAAGCTTCAACTGAACAGAACAACCTATGGCACAAACGTCTCTCCCATCTGAACTTCAAACATCTATCAACTTTGTCCTCCAAGAAACTTGTCAAGGGGCTTCCTCTGTTAAAGTCTTCCGCTGAAAATCATTGTAGTGCCTGCAAAATGGGCAAAATGACGCGAAGCTCCCACAAGTCAAAAACCGAACCTTCATCTACACAACACTTGCAGCTAATTCACATGGATCTATGTGGACCTATGAGAGTCCAAAGCATCAACGGTCGCAAATACACACTGGTGATCGTTGATGATTTCTCTAGGTATACATGGACAAAATTTCTCCGTTCAAAAGATGAGGCTGCTGAAAACATTATGACCTTTATCAGAACCATCCAGAAACTGCTACAGCACAGTGTTCGAATCGTTAGAACTGACAATGGTACCGAGTTCAAAAATCAAACTCTAACTGAGTTCTATGAATCACTCGGTATCACTCAGCAATTTGCAGCAGCTAAAACTCCCCAACAGAACGGAGTTGTTGAGAGAAAGAACAGAACTCTTGTTGAAGCAGCACGCACCATGTTAATCCAATCCAGACTGCCTCACTTCATGTGGGCAAAGGCAATCAATACTGCGTGTTTCACTCAGAACAGAACATCCATCCATAAACGCTTTGACAAGACTCCATATGAAATCCTATTCAACAAAACTCCTGACATCTCTTTCTTCAAGGTTTTTGGCTGCAAGTGCTTCATACTCAATGATCGGACAGAGAGAAGTAAGCTGGATCCCAAAGCCAGAGAAGGTGTGTTCATTGGCTACTCACTGCAATCCAAAGCTTACGGAGTCTATCTCAGAGACAAGCGCACTGTCATCGAGAGTGTAAATGTTACATTCTATGAAATGGAAAACTTTGCAATCGAACATCTCCAGACTGATCCATCAACTGCTGTACCAGTAGCTTCTGATAAAGCTGAACCAAACACCGAACACGACGATGTGATTCTCGACTCTCTCTTCAGAAACTTCTACGAGAACTCACAACCTCCACCTCCTGCATGCACTCCAGAGTCAACATCAACTCCAACAACAGAGATTCCGCTCCTCACAGGACCAGACAATGTACCATCCACACCCTCAACCCCTCAAACCAATCCCAGAGGTGTGGATGATCACGGCTTTGCTACGAGTCCAGAATCATCTCCACTACACACCACAGCTGCCCCAGAGCCTTCAACCTCATATCAGGACTCAGATCAACCAATAATAACTCCAACTCCTCTAGCTCATGAGAGGAAGTGGACGAGAGCACATCCTGTTGAACAGATAATAGGTGATCCGAGTCAAGGTGTGCGAACAAGATCAGCAACAATGAATGAATGCCACTTCGCATGCTTCTTAAGCCAGTCAGAACCATCAAAAGTCTCAGATGCACTACTTGATCCAGATTGGGTGATTGCGATGCAAGATGAACTCAATCAGTTTGACAGACTGAATGTATGGTCACTGGTACCCAGGCCTCAGAGAAAGACAATCATTGGTACGAAGTGGGTATTCAAAAATAAAAGGGATGAAGAAGGCACAGTCGTTAGGAACAAGGCAAGGCTGGTCGCAAAGGGATATAATCAAAAGGAAGGCATAGACTACGATGAAACGTTTGCACCCGTAGCTAGAATTGAAGCAATCCGCCTCTTTCTTGCATACGCGGCGCACAAAAACTTCACCGTCTTTCAGATGGACGTGAAAACAGCATTTCTGAATGGGATGTTAGAAGAAGAAGTCTATGTAGCTCAACCTGAAGGATTTGTAGATCCAAAATTCCCATACCATGTATATAAACTCAAGAAAGCTCAATATGGGTTGAAACAGGCACCCAGAGCTTGGTACGATGTCTTGACTGAATTTTTGATCGATTCAGGTTTCTCAAAAGGAAAGATCGATACTACTTTTTTTATCAAGCGACAGAAGTCTGACATCATCCTGATTCAGATCTATGTTGATGACATCATCTTTGCCTCTTCAAATCCGCGCCTGTGCCAACACTTTGAGAAACTGATGAAAACCAAGTTCGAGATGAGCATGATGGGCGAACTTAACTTCTTCTTAGGCCTGCAAGTAAGACAACTCTCTGATGGCATTTTCATCAATCAGTCCAAATACATTCTGGATATGCTAAAGAGATTCAACATAGAAGGCAAATCTTCCATGACGACCCCCATGTCCCCAAACAACAAACTGGACTCAGACCCCTCCGGGAAGCCAGTTAATGCTACAAACTACAGGACCATCATTGGATCTTTGCTATATCTCACGTCAAGCAGGCCTGACATTGTCTTCTCCACATGCTTATGTGCTCGCTTTCAAGCAAATCCGAAGGAATCCCATCTGACAGCTGTACGATGAATTTTAAGATACCTCAAAGGCACAGTGAATCTAGGCCTTTGGTATCCCAAGCATTCAGGCTTTGATCTAGTCGGATACTCGGATGCTGACTTTGCTGGTTGCCGGATGGACCGCAAAAGTACATCGGGAGCCGTCCAATTCTTGGGCGAGAAGCTAGTTTGCTGGTCTTCCAAAAAGCAAAACTGTGTGTCAACATCTACAGCTGAGGCCGAATACGTCGCGGCTGCTAGTTGTTGTTCACAAATATTATGGATGAAGACTCAGCTACAGGACTACGGTTACACATTCCGCCACATCCCGATCTAAAGTGACTCTCAAAGCGCCATCGCCATCACAAGCAATCCGGTTCACCACTCCCGCACCAAACACATTGATCTGCGCTATCATTTCATCAAGGATCAAGTGGAGAAAGGAGATATAGATATGTATTTTGTAAGCTCAGAGCTTCAACTGGCTGACTTGTTCACTAAGGCATTGGATGAAAAAAGATTTCAGTTCCTGGTCTCCAAGTTGGGCATGTTGAACCTCGAGCTTGTTTAATTTTTGTCTCCACTGATCTGAAAAGTGTGTGTGTGTGGGACTTGTAAAAAGTGTGTGTGCGTATGATCTGTAAATAGTGTGTGTGTGTTGCATTTGTACATATTGTTTGTTGCATTTTTTGAGGGGGAGAAATTTTTCACTGATTGAGGGGGAGCTCTCTATTTTTTACTGGTTTGGGCCTCAAAAATCTTTTAAAAAGAGCACTGTGTGCCAGCCCTATAATTCGAGCTCATTTGCTACGGAGGAGGTCCAAATTTTTTATCGCGTATATAAGCCTCGAAAAACCCTTCACTTCCTATTTCTAAAACGTTTCGCAAAGACTAATTTCGCAAAGCAGAACTCCTCCAAAACTTCCCTTACTCTCTTCTTCTTCGATCGATTCTCTTTCCCGAAAACCTTCAAGGTAGTTTATCATTCGATTTCGAGTTTCAAAAACCCTCTCAACGAACGATCAATCTCGAAATTTTGTTCGTGTTCGACATCCAAGATGTATGCTTGATTTCGCAAAAATAAACCCGTGAAATTTCTCAAAAATCTAAATCAACTTAAATTTTTAATGTCGTTATCTTGCTTGAAATCGATTTCGTATATCTTTTGCTTTCGTTTTTGCAGGTGGTTAATCTCTTCGAAATCGTCGGTTCATCTTCTCGAAATCAAGATCTCGAGATGGGCATCTCGACATCTTGATCTCGAGATTTGAATCTCGAAATCAAGATCTCGAGATCTGCATCTCGACATCTTGATCTCGAGATTTGAATCTCGAAATCAAGATCTCGAGATTTTCATCTCGACATCTTGATCTCGAGATTTGAATCTCGAAATCAAGATCTCGAGATCTGTATCTCGACATCTTGATCTCGAGATTTGAATCTCGAAATCAAGATCTCGAGATTTGGATCTCATAATCATGATCTCGAGATTTAGATCTCGAGATTTGGACTTAGCAATTTTTTTTGAAAATTTCCACCTGCATAAACTTATCTACAACTGCAAATCAAACTCTTTCAATCAAAATCAAACAGTTGAACTTCATGTGCTGACCCTCTGCTTCTACAGTTTAAAATGGCAGGAAACACTAAAACACAGATCGATGATGCCATCTACTCCCAAGAAAAATGGATCAAGATGCTGGACAACAATTTCCAGCTAGACCTTGCAGTATTCAAGTGTCAGAACCCGATCATTTCGGCCATAATGAAAGGTCACTATCTCTGGCCTGCACTTCACAACGCCAAACCAGTGCCAGAGATATACCTACAACAATTTTGGGGCCACATGCATACTGAATCAGCGAAGGATCGCTCCAAAATCAAGACTAAACTGAATGGCATGCGCGTAATCCTGACGCCATCAACACTGCAATCTACACTAGCGCTGCCAGTTCACGACACATATGATGCACTGCCATCCATCCCTGATCTGCTCAAAGACGTGGCATCTCTCGGCTACACCTCACTGCTGCCACAACTGTCAAACTTCAACGGAGCCTATCTCCATCACCCGTGGAAGAGTCTATTCGGACTGGTGAATAAATGCTTGTCGCCAAAGCATACCGGCTTCGACAAGTGCAACAAGCAGATACTGCTAGTCTTCCATGGGATCGCCTTCAACAAAAATTATGACTTGGCACAGCTCTTCTTTTCAGAGCTAATGGACCTGGTCAAAGCCAAAGAAAAGAATAGGCCAGGTACCATTGCGTACGCAAGATGGCTCGGGCTGATCATACACGACTGCATGGCAGAGCACGCTTCCATACCAAAATGCAGTACGGATCCTCACTTCACAGCACCGAAGCTACAGTATTTTAAAGCAGACAAGAATCCTACCTTTGGTCTGAAGATACCTGGATTTCTGCTCAAGCTGGTCAAATCTTCAAATCCAGCAGTCCAGCAATACAAGGAAGCCACATAGAAAACTGTCCCTATGGTTCAGCAAAACCCAGTTGGACCTACCCCAGGGGCAAAGCAGAGTGTTGGTAAGGGTCCCAAGAGAGCCCAAAAGCCACAGAAACCAGTGGCCGGTTCGCCCAATGAAGGAAAGTCTGACGACTCTCTAGAGACGAGTCAGGCGGCTGAGGGCACCGAAACAGACGCTGAGGAAACAGCCAATGAATCGTCAAGTGAAGCCCAAACAAACACTGACGAGGAGGCTTCCGAGAGCGTGGGCACGGAGAGCGGGGAATCTGGCTCGGATGATGACGACGATGACAATGACAGTGATGACGTGGAGCTCACATATGCCCTGATCAGAAAAGGGAAGCTGCCAGTCGAATCTCCAAAGAAGAAAAGAATTACTGCTGAAGACGCAGCACCAATAATCGCTGGCAGACCTCAAGTCTTCACAATCAAAGAAAAAGCTAAACCGAGAGCCGATCCCAGCGAGACAAATTGCTCCAAGGACGATTATGACGAGGCGGCTCATTCAATTAAGAATTCAGAGGAGGTCGTCATCCGAGAGAAAAGGGCAAAGGTCAAGAATGACAAGGTTGCCAAGGCAAAGCCCCAGCCCCGAGCCAGAAAGAGCCTGATTGATAAGGCAGACGAGCATATCTTCGCGGGCTGCGACACCTTTATCCAGATAAGCCGAGCTGAATCCCTAAGCACAGGAGCCGATCTTTTCGGTTCCCGGGTAGAAGTCGCAGCATCTGGCTCAACTGCGCAAGCACAGCTCTCTCCCAGCCACTCGATAGCCTCTCAACAGGCTATTGTTTCAAAAGAACGGGACTCCACCCCCTCGCTGGTTCCTTCTGAATCAGTTGAGCGTACAATTGACCTATCTCCCGAGGTCAAAACCCCTTCTTCTCACACATCGAGTCTATATGTCACATTCCCCACATTTTCTTCATTTTCTAGGACACCTACACTATTCACTTCACATACAGGTGCACACACCCTGAACGCAACAACCAGAGCGCAAGCTATGACGGTTGGAAGCCCTGCTACGCCCATAATGATTCCATCATTAAATGCAGGCCACACATCAGCAATCTTCACTGATGCTGTGACAACAGTTACAACCCCCGTAACTGGTCACCCTACCTTTGAAGACGTAAACGTTCTACTCAATCGCTTCCTAGATTCCACCATTAAACCATGGGTGCAAGATGCAATGACCGCTCTAGCACAGGAATTTAGGACCACCCAAGCGGTTCGGTCTGAACAAACCCCACCCCAACCTTCACCTGAACCGTTCATCTCCCATACACAACCCGTATCCTCCACCCCTCTATCCCACCAATCCATAAACCAAATTCCCATTCCTTCTCTTTCTCGGGGAACCCAGGATACAGAACCAGTATTCTCCCCACACCCGACCACACCCTCCATCGATCTCTCCTCACTACCCTTCGACACTCTAGCGTCGGCTTTGCTGAACAACCTCCTAAACACCCCTGAAGACAAGCTTACTCTTCATCAGCAAGCCATACTTGAAGCCCTTCTTTCTTCACCTGAAACCAAGAGAACTTGCAAGGAGAGTCCTCGTGGTCGCAAACGTTCCCATGAGGACCCCGATGATTCGGATCCTCATGAGGGGGAGAACAAGCGACCTCGATCACTTGAGCAAACTGCCCTACCAAGCCAAACTCCACAGCCCATTCAACCCGAAACATCGACAAACCAACAGCAACCACCCATAGCCAACTTATCTAGCATGGTCGAGCTAGAAATAACATCCCGAGGCGTATCTCCAAGAGATACCAACCGAGGAGGGGATGGAAGTCCTGATGATGTTACCACTGGTACATCTTCTGCATCAGGCCATTAACTGGAACCTAGTTCTAAGCTGATGTCAACGGGCAATCCAAGTGAACCCGGTAGTGCTACGCAGGAACAATCACCTCCTCAAAGGCAACAAAGAGTTCCATACATCTCCCCAGGAAAAGACATCCATGATGCACTGGAGGAGGCGGTGATATATGACAAATGGCCGAGACAATGGACAGATTGGGATGATCTTCGGAATGAGGCCGAACAAGAAGACATGCAAAGAAATTGGTGGCTAGGAGAGTTAATTAACAGATGCTCTGAAGATATCATAAGGCTCGAGGACGATGAACGCAAGGAAGGGGAGAATTACAAAGAATCCCAGAAAACTCTTGAATCGGTCGTAAGACAATCAGCGGGAAGACTTCCCAAGACAGAGAAACCCTGGGATAATGTTCGCATCAAAGCCCCTTTCCAAGAAGAAATCAGAGAGCATATCTGGCGTAGACCAGACAGAGTCAAGCCGCTGAATGAACTGAAGCTAAGAGGCCTTACTCATTTAAAAGGAAAGCAGGCTGGAGGTCATCTGCATATGCTGCTACAAAGGTCAACCGGTACACAGAGAGAACTGATGGAACAAGATCTGAAGTCGAATATTCTCCCGATTCATCAAATTCTACAAGTGAAGGCTGAAGATTATCATGGAGTAACATTCTACACTTACAGACTTCAACGCACTGATGGGAGCGAATTTACTTGCCAAGAGAACGATTTCATCATGCTGAAACCGGACGACATCTATCAAATGTTCATGGCCTACAGATACCTTCCAGTCAGGCAGAGCATAATATACAGCGAAGGTCTTGCAGCTATCAAGAGATTCATGCTTAGACAGATCCGAGTACACTCTTCACATGACCTACAGATGGCTATTGAGTGCAATCTGAAAAAGACAAATCTGACAAAGCCAAGACTGTATGGTCCAGAACTTGAAGACTTCCCAGCCTACCACATCTTCTTCACACCGCCAGCAGTCACCTATCTGAACCACAAGAACGAAAAACGTCTGATGGTAGTCAGTGAAATTGAGAAGTACTGTGACGGAACACTGAAGATAATCAAAGAACATATTCTAAAGATGAAGGCAGAGCTAGAGGAAAATCTTCAAGAGGCATCGTCTTATGTTCAAAAGGAACACTCTATAGTAGAGACAATCTTAAAGGCAATTGACGATCGCCTCGAAAAGAGAAATACGCTGAGGCAATATGAACATGCACTTGGTATGAGGAAGCACTACTTCAAGTCTCAGAAGCAATAAGAGAATGGCACTTGATCACAAAGGGGGAGATTGTTGGAGATATTAAATTGTGAATCAAGTTTGTCATAGATTAGCTTTATATTTAATCCTTGTATTTAATTAGTGCATGAATTAGATAGCAATCAGGCCAAGTGTTAGGCCCATATAAACAGGCTAAAAGCCTTGTACGCCTAACCGAAACCTCGCCTATAAAAAGGGAGCCGAGGTTTAGGAATAGGTTAACGTCGTACTTATTCTTCATAGCCTTACGCGCATAATTTTGTGTTGTACGAGTTCACGGTCTATCAAAGAAGGTTTTACGTTGATTCATTCTGTGTTCATCCTTACGTTTAATCTTCGTTGTTAGATCGTTATTCATTGATGTTACAGAAACAGGGACTAACAGAAAGGTTGAGCACCGCCCTTCTAAATTACTAGGAAGTTAGAGAAGAAGTGATTTTTTTGAGATGATCAAAGAAGAAGAGAATTTTGGTGGAGTGAGTTCTTTTTATATAATATTATAAGAAAAACTATTTTTGCCAAACCTGATTATTTTACGGGGTTGGGTAGTACTTACTTAGCTCTAAAGCTAATTTTTGTTTCATTTCCTTTGTTTTGTTTTCTGCACTTTACTTGTGCAGGTGATGATGACTATGTTGATTGTTGATTGCATGTGTTTGAGAGCGGATTAGAGATGCCTTAGAAAAACTTAGCCAAGAATAAACATTTTAATTATGTCGAATATTTGTTTTACTTTGTTTTGATTTAGTTGCCTGTGCATTCGGTTAGGAGATGACTGGATGTGGCGGTAACACCCATTTCCCTTTCAAACTTCCGATGTACTTCTTCAACATTATGATGAATGAATAAAGAATTTCCTTTAAATTATTAATGTTTTGGGTGGGAAATTTGGGGGTGTTACAAATAATCCAACTTTGTAGTAGTTTTATTACAACAGTCTCACATTTTCGTTATTCAAGAACAATCCAACCTTTGCACCCCATCTTCATTTGCTGGTCCGTGGCCGGTTAATGATATGTTATTCCATGTTTGGATAAGAAAATAACTTGGAATAACAGGTCATTAACCGGCCACAGACCAGCGAATGAAGATGGGGTGCAAAGGTTGGATTATTCTGGAATAACGAAAAAGTGGGACTATTGTAAGAAGACCGCTAAAATGTTGGATTATTAGTTTCCATTTTCCCAAATAACAATACCCAAAGTTGGGAGTATTTACATAAATACCAATAAGCTGATAAAAGCACCCTCAAGCCTACTTTGAACTTTTGACTTATAAGTGCTTTAATTTAGTTTAAAAGTTGGGTTTACAAACACCATTTTTGGCTTTTCATTACAAAAAAGTCAAAATCACTTTTCTCTAGAGATTGCCAACACTCCCTAAGTAGTCAGCAAAACTAATTTGATATATTTTTATTTTGATCACATTTGTGTGGAAAGTTAAAGTGAGGATTAGAAGTTTGTCTATACTCCATAGTCCATACTCTTGGATAGAGTGAGGATAAGAAGTTTTTCTATACTCCATAGTCCATAGTCCATACTCTTGGATAGATACTCCATACAAAATAGGATTACACCGGTGACAATGGATCCCCTAATCTCAATATTTTATCCCTCTCTTTGAGGATGTGTTTTGGAGTTGGGTTTTGAAGGGGGAGAAGGTTGGCGGGGGCTAATGACTCTTTTTTTTACATATTTGGAGTTTAAAAAATTGGAGGGGTGACTTCTAAATGATCAATTGTTTAGTTCTCCCAATTCGAAGATTTTGAAGGATAATAATTAATGAAATGATAATTAAACCTCAATTAAAGATGAATATCAATTCAATGATTTAAGATCGTCATGTCTCAAAGTGGTTCTAATTATAACTCCTTCAAAAACTCTTCTCGATCTTCTAAATTTATGACTCCCAAATACAAAGGATATTCTCACCTTTCCCTCCATTTCTCCTCCAACAACATACTTCCAAAGTCTTGCCCTCCCCTTCCCTCCATACTCACAAACATACCTAAGAGAATTCCAAAAGATAATATCACGTGTTTTCTCAAAGATAAAGCACTTTGCACTGGATTAATGAGCTCAGTCGAAAGAGTTCTCATCCTGTTACCAGAATATTTGTAATAGATTTACATATCATGACATAAGTCTGAAATCCTCAAACATGATGAACTTATTAATTTCAAAAATGTACGGTTTAACATGTTTCATTTATTAAGTTCAAAAATACACCCATATCTTATAGTTTGATTCGTTGTCCTTTGATAAACTCATTTGAAGCTTACCAATTTTTGTAATTGCCTCCATTTAAATTTTATCAGCTCTTAGTTTTATTTAACTCTAGTCCACTTATGAGATAAAATTAGATTTCTTGTTCAATTTATTTTAGAGACATTATTAGTTTTTTACATTATTTAATTTAATTTTTCTTTTTATCACATATGTAGTTTAGGCAATCATAAATTCTTTTAATTAAGAAAGCTTCCAATAATTTGCACTAACCTATGACTGAAGAAATGTGGAACCGTGGAAACCACAAACTCTGCAGCTAAAATCATTCATCCATGATGCCTTCTTCTTTCTCCACTAACCATACATACATATGCTAAATACATTCCCTGTCAGGAATATATACAAATAGTTGTGAACCAATCTGGCAATTCAGATATTCCAGTCAACAGGGCTCTTTACTTCATGCCACAGCATCCGCCTGTCGTTTAGCTAATCGTGCATACAAGCCATCACTGTGAAGAAGCTACCTGTGGTTGCCCATCTACAAGCATTATGGGATTTAGTTGAGTATCATGGTGCTTACCTCAATAATAAGAGGTTTAACTAATAATCATGGTGCTTACTTCCATAATATTTCCACTGTCCATGACCACTATCCTGTCTGCAGCTTGAATTGTAGAAAGTTTGCAGGAAGAGGTTCATAAATAGTAGACTAATAAAGTTTAGAAGTTGATATACCGAGAATATAGTGATAATAGAGCAGGCAGTCACCTGTGCACAATTACTATTACAGTTCTCATCGTCTTCTGACTGCACGAAAGACGGCCTAAATTCAATGTTATAGTATAAGTCAACCTAGTAATTTTTCTTGGATGGAAGTTCAATAGATTGAGATTAAAAATAAATACACACAGGCACATGTGCCAAGGGTCAACCTAATAATAATAGCCTAATACCTTGTATGCCGTGGCGGACGTAGGATTTGAAACCAGCTATTGCCACAGATATAATAATACAAGATTTTTTTATAAGATACAACCGTAAAAATCATGGAATCATATCTTAATTTGGATTTTTTCTTTTATGTAATTAAATTTACAAAACCAAATCATCTCTTTCTTATGAAACATCAAACATGACACTTTGGGGGGGGGGGGGGGGGGGAGATTTAAAACATGACTATTTTTTTGGGCAAGGAAAGTCTTTTTAGTTTTTATACACCTTGACACCCGAAAAAACTTCAGCTATGGCCATACCTGCCCCCCTATTGTGTCCTTCCATTGTTGATGTCGTATGGCTTCAGACAAATAGTATTCAGTAGAGCATAATGGACTAGGCACATGACTAACTGATGCTTAGTTAGGACTTGGGAGGATGCAGATGGGAATTTTCGGACCACATACTCTAAACAAGAAAAGAGTTCATACCTAATGTAATCTCTCAACTGTACACTATTACTCGATATGATTCTGGACTTTTTTAGTACTCAATTTGGTGCTAGACAAAGTAATTTCGGTCCAGTTTAGTTTTTGAGTGTTTGGTTATAAATAAGAATGGTACTTTGATGTGTGTTTTCTCGCACTCAAAATGATTGTAGAAAAGTGGTTAAAAGTACGAGTATCGTCTCCACAAGGACGGACAAAGGGGAATTAAGAATCAACTAAATTTAGCGATTAAACAAAAAATAAATAAATTAAAATGCGATGTGCGAGATTGGTTGGTTTAATTAAAATTAAAACTAATGCAGATGAGCGATTAAAATAAATGTGATTTTCTTATTAATTAACGACGAAGGGAACATGGATTGATTCCGGGGTAACCAGATTTCTGGCAGAACTGGCCTAATTACATGAATTTAATTTAATTGAGCCTAGCTAATCATTACTAAGTTCTTACCGCTCTCGCGGCGTAGAGTACAATAGTTTAGGGGACCAGGCTGATCTCTCATGCGACAGGATCCTAAATTATTGTCAAAACAAGCGAGCTTACGGTCCCTTAATCGTTACTAATCTCTTAGCGAACGATTAAGTGTGTGTGTGAATGTGTCCTAGAATAAACTAGATCTCTCTTAATTTATTCTACAAGCAATTGTAATTCTAGCCGCGGTTCCAGGTTACAAAAGATATCAGTTAAATTATTCAAACACAGATTGAACGGCATTCATGCAATTAAACTGACAAGAATCTAGCCATCCATCATGATTAAGCCCTTCATCAATCCCAAACCTCTAATTAAACTACTCTCAATTCATAATTGAAGAATCAACAGAATTGAGATGAATAGAAATAATTGTCATCAATTAAAACGATGAACTTACAAATAATCCCAGGGTCTTGGAAGAAAATAGCATAAAAACGGTGTTAAAATCGTCCCTAGGCCTCTCCGTAATGTTCGTAACCCCCAGAAAAAGGGTATGGAGGCCTTAGTTATAAAAAACAGATGAGTTTGGGCTGAACTGGGACTAAAAAGGGCTGAAATCCGCGTCTCGGGTGTACACACGCTCGTTCGTGGCCTGGTACGCACGATCGTGCGTACATGACAGTAGCTTCATGGTCGTTTTCGCTCTTACGCACGATCGTGCGTACTTCTACGCACGGTCGTGCGTCCGTATTTTTTTCAGCGTTTGTCTATTCCAAATTTGACAAAACTTCCTTCATGCAAGTTGTAGATAATGAAGTCCTCTATCCACCTCAATTTGCCGAATGTGATTTGAATCATCCAATCAAGAGATATGATCAAAACGGTGGAAGGTGTCATTCTGAAATCGCAGCAGAGATTATCTGACTTCATCATCTGTTTGAACCTTTGTAATCTCATATTCTCGGAATGATGTCTTCACATGATTTGTAGCCCTTGCAGTTGGCTTTCATATTCAACTTGAATCGTGTCCTTTAGATGCTTCTACAAAGCGATATGCTTGAACGATTGACCAAAGGTCATCCTGATCGTTGTTTTCCAGCTTCATTCATCTTCTTTTGATCCCATAGCCAATCCTAGAGCTCTTTTGACATCAAATCTTCATCGTGAACCTCCCGTGAGATGAACAATGTGAACTAATTTGACTCAGAGCATGTCTTTCTGATCTTCAAATGGAGATTCCATAAAGTCTTTGCTAACAGTAATGAATTTCTGATATGTTTTCCTTCCCAATACCTCCCTCTTCTTTTAGCTTGCCCACAAATCAGGTCCCGTCCTGACATTTATGGGCCCGGGACATTATAGATAGAGTAGGCCGTAGAGATAATGTATTAATGTTTATATTTTTTATTTCAAAAAAAAAAATACTTTCTCCGGTACTGAATGAAGTTTACACTTTGACTTCACACATATTAAGGAAATAAATTTGACTTTACTATAGAATACACTGTTTGACACTGTTTGGCACTTGTTTGCACTGTTTGGTGTAGATTTGTTTGCCAAATAAGGCAAATAAGGAAGTGTAAAGATTAATATGGGACGGACCAAAAAGGAAAGTGTAAAGTTAATTAAGGACCGGAGGGAGTATAAGTAAAATTGAGCAATTTTATTATATAAATATGAGTATAACACATCAAAAAAATTAATAAATGAGACAGTTAGAAAGATTATATTTAAATATTTGGTTAGTGACATCCGAGAATACTATGTAACTAAATCGGCTTAATGGAAAAGTAGTACAATTTGTA